GGGGGGCTCGCGGGGCGCACGCGGGGGCCGCCGCGGACGCCTTAGCGGCCCCCGCCGCGAACCCTACCAGCGTGTAGACAACGTCCCGCGCCCAGGCGGCGGCGTCTAAGAGCAGGCAGTTCCGTCTGGAGGCGCCGCCGCCACTCCATGGCGGGCGCAACCAGGTGCACGCAAGGAGGCTTTCACCCGCATCAGCCAATGCAGCCAGGACCGGCGCGACAGCGAGCGGCGCGTCATCCCACTGGATATCCGTGCGCCAGCCAACGCGGGACAGGCCCGCGAGGTGTGGCATGCGAAACGAGCAAGGCACAGAGCACGCCACTAAGCGATTGTCGGAGTCAATCCCGCTCGCAGGGGCAACCGAGACGGGAATAATTGAATGCTCATCAACATGGACGAGGTCAAGGCACGTGCCAGACTCATGCGTCGGAGCTGGGGGGTTGCACGCCACGAGGCCAGCCGCGGAAATCAGGGCTTCTCTCGTGCGATTCGAGGCCGGCTGGCAGCAATGCAGGCAAGTGGAGTCCTGGGGGTGGTCCCACAAGTGAATTCTGAAGATATAGAATGCCGCTCCACCAGGCAACAGTAGACATTGGTAGTCTGCGAATGGACTGGTTAGATGGAAGCACACACATTTTGACAAGCTGAGGGTCCCAACATAGTAACTGTATTACTCGACAAGACCGATGACATCGAAAACCGCAGGTCATATCCATTGTTCGATACTAACACCCTTAAACAATCAACAGAGAGCCAAGATAGACACCATGGAGACATACTGATGTAAAAAGAGTTTTCAATACAGCCGGAGCGATTGCGATTCAATGGGAAGAACTTGGTGCGTGATTCACAGTCGCGCTTCCTCACGCTGGGGCATTTGGTTCTGGGTGTTCGCGTATCCGAGTTCATATGGCTTCTGGCCAAAAAAACGCCGTTGAAGACGACTGAGAGTCAGTCCAGAGTTTAGAGTCCTGGCGCCGATGTGGAGCCCCAATCGACGCACCGGGGACGCGACCCGAGTCGTTCTTCCTGGATGGCCGAATTTTGCAGCCATGCGAGCAACCGGCTTTTGGTCTGTTCCTACAAGTCCATTGACCAGTTCTTTCTCGTGCTGATCCTGCTCAGTGGACTCCTCACCATCACGCTGTGCAACTATTTGCTCACCCAGCAGCTGAAGGACGGCTCGTCGAACACAGACATCGGGGTCTCCACGCTCAGAGCATCACCGCAAGCAAGCTTCCGACACGCCGCCAGGGCTCACCTTTTCCACGGCTCCCTCCCTTCCTTCCGAAACCGCGGCCCGCGCCACTCGCGTCGCCCGCCCCGCTGAGCAGCAGACTGCCCTCGGCGCAGCAAGAGTCACCCACCGCCCTCGAAAAGTTTTTTTTTTGTTTTTTTTTTTGTTTTGGTTTCCCCTCCCTCCTCCCCCCTTCCCTCCCCCTCCCTTACCCCAAGGCTGCCGCGCCCCCTTGCGGCCAGTGCGGACCTCCGCGCGCCCACGGTGAGTATGGGGCGGGCGCGCCCCGAAGGAGCGGGGGGTTTTCGGCCGAAGCCAGGGCAACCCCGAACCTCCCGCCAGCTAGCTGCCCCGCCGGGGGCCTCCCGTTCAGCTGCCCTAAGCCCCTCGGCGCCCCAGGAGCGCCCGGGGCGCCCTCGGCCAGCCGCCGCCAGCCGCCGCCGCCAGCCGGCGCCTTGTGCCGCGGTGCCCGGCCCGTCGCCGCCAGTCGCCGGCCGGCCGCTCGTCGCAGCGCCGCGCCGCCGAGCCTGCCGCCGCCAGCCGGTGCCGCCGCCGCCGCCCTCGGGGCGGCGCTGGCGGCGCAGCTTTCGGCCTCCGCGCGGCCGCGCCGCCGCCGGCCGCCGCGCTTCGCCGCGGCGCCTGGCCCGTCGCCGCCTGCCGCAGGTCGGCCGCAGGCCGCCGCGCCTCGCCGCCGGTCCTGCCGCCGCTGGTCGCCGCGCTCGCCGCCGCAGGTCGCTGGGCAGAGGGTTGTGGCTGAGGAGGGCTGAATCCTCCCCCCTCTGCCCGTGCGCGAACCTGCGGCGGCGCTGCGCCTCGCGGCGGCGCGTTCGCCCTCCGCGCCGCCGCGCTGCCGCGGGCCAGCGCCAGCGTCTCCTCCACCGCCTCCGCCGCCGCCGCCGCCGCCGCCGCCTCCTCCTCTTCCTCCTCCTCCTCTGTGCTGCTGGCTGCTGTCGTGGTGCTGCTAGTCGCCGTGCTGCCCCTGGTCCTGGTGGTGCTGGTCGCCGTGGTGGTGCTGCTCGTAGTGGTGCTGGTCGCCGTGGTGGTGCTGGTCGCCGTAGTGGTGCTGGTCGTGGTGGTCCTCCTGGTCGTGCTGGTGCCAGTCGTGGTGGTGCTGGTCGCAGTGGTGGTGCTGGTCGCCGTGGTGGTGCTGGTCGCCGTGGTGGTGCTGGTCGTGGTGGTCCTCCTGGTCGTGGTGGTGCTGGTCGCCGTGGTGGTGCGGGTCGTAGTGGTGCTGGTCGCCGTAGTGGTGCTGGTCGCCGTGGTGGTGCTGGTCGTGGTGGTCCTCCTGGTCGTGGTGGTGCTGGTCGTAGTGGTGCTGGTCGTGGTGGTGCTGGTCGCCGTGGTGGTGCTGGTCGTGGTGGTGCTGGTCGCCGTGGTGGTGCTGGTCGCCGTGGTGGTGCTGGTCGTGGTGGTCCTCCTGTCGTGGGGCTGGTCGTGGTGGTGCTGGTCGCTGTGGTGGTGCTGATCGCCGTGGTGGTGCTGGCCGTGGGCGTGGTGGTGCTGGTCGTGGTGGTAGTGGTAGTGGTCCTCTGGCCGTGGTCGTGCTGGTCGTGGTGGTGGTGGTGCTGGTCGTGCTGGCCGTGGTCGTGCTGGCCGTGGTCGTGGTGGTGCCGGTCGTGGTGGTCGTGGTGGTCCTCCTGGCCGTGGTCGCGCTGGTCGTGGTGGTGGTCGCCGTGGTGGTGCTGGTCGTGGTGCTGGTCGTGGTGGTTCTCCTGGTCGTGGTGATGCTGGTGGTGGTGCTGGTCGCTGTGGTGGTGCGTAGTCGTGGTGCTGGTCGCCGTGGTGGTGCTGGTCATGGTGGTGCTGGTCGCCGTGGTGGTGCTGGTCGTGGTCGCCCTCCTGGTCGTGCTGGTGCTGGTCGCAGTGGTGCTGGTCGCCGTGGTGATGCTGGTCGCCGTGGTGGTGCTGGTCGCCGTGGTGGTCCTCCTGGTCGTGGTGGTGCTGGTCGTGGTGGTGCTGGTCGCCGTGGTGGTGCCGGTCGCCGTGGTGGTGCTGGCCGTGGGCGTGGTGGTGCTGGTCGTGGTGGTGGTGGTCATAGTGGTCCTCTGGCCGTGGTCGTGCTGGTCGTGGTGGTGGTGGTGCTGGTCGTGCTGGCCGTGGTCGTGGTGGTCGTGGTCGCCGTGGTGCTGGTCGTGGTGGTGGTCGTAGTGCTCCTCCTGGCCGTGGTCGCGCTTGTCGTGGTGCTGGTCGCCGTGTTGGTGCTGGTCGTGGTGGTCCTCCTGGTCGTGGTGGTGCTGCTCGTGGTGGTGCTGGTCGCCGTGGTGGTGCGTAGTCGCGGTGCTGGTCGTGGAGGTGGTGCTGGTCGCCGTGGTGGTGCTGGTCGCCGTGGTGGTGCTGGTCGTGGTAGTCCTCCTGGTCGTGGTGGTGCTGGCCGTGGTGGTGCTGGTCGCTGTGGTGGTGCCGGTCGCCGTGGTGGTGCTGGTCGTGGTGGTGCTGGTCGCCGTGGTGGTGCTGGTCGCCGCGGTGGCGCTGGTCGCCGTGGTGGTCCTCCTGGTCGTGGTGGTGCCGGTCGAGGTGGTGCTGGCCGCCGTGGTGGTGCCGGTCGCTGTAGTGGTGCCGGCCGTGGTCGTGGTGGTGCTGGTCTTGGTAGTGGTGGTCGTCGTGGTGGTCCTCTGGCCGTGGTCGTGCTGGTCGTGGTGGTGGTGGTGCTGGTCGTGCTGGCCGTGGTCGTGCTGGCCGTGGTCGTGCTGGCCGCGGTCGTGGTGGTCGTGGTGGTCCTCCTGGCCGTGGTCGCGCTGGTCGTGGTGGTGGTCGCCGTGGTGGTGCTGGTCGTGGTGCTGGTCGTGGTGGTTCTCCTGGTCGTGGTGGTGCTGGTGGTGGTGCTCGTCGCTGTGGTGGTGCGTAATCGTGGTGCTGGTCGCCGTGGTGGTGCTGGTCGCCGTAGTGGTGCTGGTCGTGGTGGTCCTCCTGGTCGTGGTGGTGCTGGCCGTGGTGGTGCTGGTCGCTGTGGTGGTGCCGGTCGCCGTGGTGGTGCTGGTCGCCGTGGTGGTGCTGGTCGTGGTAGTCCTCCTGGTCGTGGTGGTGCTGGTCGTGGTGGTGCTGGTCGCTGTGGTGGTGCCGGTCGCCGTGGTGGTGCTGGTCGTGGTGGTGCTGGTCGCCGTGGTGGTGCTGGTCGCCGTGGTGGCGCTGGTCGCCGTGGTGGTCCTCCTGGTCGTGGTGGTGCTGGTCGAGGTGGTGCTGGCCGCCGTGGTGGTGCTGGTCGCTGTGGTGGTGCCGGCCGTGGTCGTGGTGGTGCTGGTCTTGGTGGTGGTGGTCGTCGTGGTGGTCCTCTGGCCGTGGTCGTGCTGGTCGTGCTGGTGGTGGTGCTGGTCGTGCTGGCAGCAGTCGTGCTGGCCGTGGTCGTGGTTGTGGTCGTGGCGGTCCTCCTGGCCGTAGTCGCGCTGGTCGTGGTGGTGGTTGCCGTGTTGGTGCTGGTCGTGGTGGTCCTCCTGGTCGTGGTGGTGCTGGGCGTGGTGGTGCTGGTCGCCGTGGTGGCGCGTAGTCGTGGTGCAGGTCGCCGTGGTGGGGCTGGTCGCCGTGGTGCTGGTCGCCGTGGTGGTGCTGGCCGTGGTGGTGCTGGTCGTGGTGGTCCTTCTCCTCCTCCTCCTGGTCGTCGTGGTCGTCGTCGTGCTGGTGGAGGTGCTGTTCGTAGTTGTGCTGGTGGTGGTGGCGGTGGTTGTGGTGCTGTTCACAGTAGCTCTGCTGTCGGCGTTCCTGCGAGCTGCTGTGCCCCGCCCTGACCGTGCGCGCCCCCACGCGGGGGCCGGTGCTCTCAGGGGAGCGCCGACAGAACGTCCCCTCGCCAGGGATTCTCCCCGTCTGTCGCTAGCGTTTCAGAGGGCACGTCCTCGAGCAGGCTCGCGGCCAGGGCGTCGTGGATGGCGTACGCCAACATGCCGCTCCACCTGTGCAGCAGCGCGGTCGTAAGCGATCCTCGCAGCGCCGCCGGCGCGCTCCTCGCCCGGGCGCGGGCCAGGGTAACGAGGAGCTTGTACGCCTCCTCGTCCCAGCGGCCGCCCGTCTCTGCTCCGGCTACGAGCAGGTAGCCCCGCCGCGAGCCCACCAGCTCAGGGTAAGTCGTTTGCTTGCGGCGCCTCGCCCGTTTCAGCGCGAGTCCTGGGCAGAGCCTCCGCGCAATCGGCCTGCCGGTGGCCCTCAGCTGGTATACGATGCAGGCGTCGATGGCGAGCTGCCTGCCGTGGTAGGCAGGGAGGCCGTTGGCCACCACCTCGATGCGGCGCCCGTCGTTGGCGGCAATGCCCGGGAGGTTCATGTCGCGCAGGAACACGTCGGTGCGGACACGGCCTCCTGCCTCCCGGCACACCCGGGCCCACACCCGCTCGATGGGAGCGCCGCGCTTCAGCAGGCGTCCGCTGCGGGGGCAAGCTGCTCTGTGGTCGCCTCTCTCGTCCAAGTGGGCCTGGCAGGAGCGCCCGTTGCACCTGCTTGCAGTGGCGTCCAGCGGCCAGCGCAGCCGTCTCTGGAGCAGTGCCCGGAAGCGCTCTGGCGTGAACGTGCTTTCTGGCGTCGAGGGGATCAGGGCCAGGTGCCGCCCGCCGCAGCGGCCTCCCTGCGAGTCGAGCATCCACTGCTGGTCGTCTGTGAGGCTCGGGAGAACGACCTCCTCCCTGTAGCGCCGCTCTCGGGCTGCGGAGGCGTGGTGCTGCCATCCGTGCTTCCACTCGCCCGGCTCTGGCTCTGTCTGTTCAGGGCGCACGCCGTCCCAGACCTCCTGCCAAGTTGGGCACGTCGCAAAGCCGTCGCGGGCGGCGGCAGCCCTCGCGCGCTCAGCTTCCTGGAGGCACGAGGCTGTGGCGCCTGTTCCGGCGAGGAGGGTGGCGGTGAGCTCCGTTGCTGCTGTAGGGTTTCTTTGTCGCAACATGGGGAGCGCGTCCGCCCAAGACGCCCAGTACGCGCACTCGGCCGTGCGCGCGGCTGACCTGAGTCCAAGGCCTCCGAGGCCGAGCGGCAGCGAGCTCACTCGGGAGAGCCTCTCTGCTTCAGCTGGCGCGGGGTCGAGGTCGAGGAGGTCGTGCAGCGCCTCCTGCAGCCCGCGGTCGTGGGCCTCGGCCTAGGACCGCGACAGCGTCGGAGGCAGCGTGCGCAGGACGTGGTTGCACCTTGGCACCGCGCAGTACAGCAGGAGCGCCCAAGCGCACTGAAGGTCTGGCAGGTTGGGGAGTTCTTGTAGGAAGCTGCGCTCCTCGTCCGTCCTCTGCTGCGTCAGCCGGGCCGCGAACGCCGCGGTGCCCAGGGGCGTGCCAAGTACCTTGAGGCCGCGGTGCTCCTCAGGCGTGCCGGCGCCGCCAACCCACACGTCTGTACCCAACGACAAATGCCCTGCTGGTTCGAAGCCGCCCCGGTTCCACATGCGGCACTGGCCGAGGTTCGCCTCGATCCCTGCCCACTCGCGCATGGCAGCGGTGACCACGTGGAAAGCCTCTGTGGCGCGCTCTGGTCTGCAGACAATGTAGACGTCGTCCAAGTAGGCGATCAGCGTCTCGCCCGGCTGAAGCTGCGCGCGGGCTCTCTCCAGGGCGCCATGCTGAGCCAGGGAGTGCAGCGCCGGCATGAGAGGGTCGCCTTGCTCTCCGCCTTCTCCCTGCCTCACCTCGTGCGCGACTCCTGCGTCGTCTGTCCAGAGGTACGTCGACGGCTGGCCGTAGGAGAGCAGGACGAATGGGACCATGGCGGAAGCCTCCGGCAGCGAGAGGAGCTTCTCGATCATGCGGTCGCGGCGCACGTGGTCGAAGGCCCCAATGCCGTCGATGCTGACGATGGTCGCCGCGGGGTCGGAGTCCGTGGCCGCTCGGAGGAAGTGGGCGGCGCTGTCTGTGCCCGCTCTCGTCGAAAGCGCGTACTGGAACGGCGCGCAGGCGTCGTCCATCTCGGACCCAAACTGGCGGGAGAGGGCCTTGCCCACGAGCCGGCGGAAGGCGTCGCCTGCAACAATGCCTCGCGCGCGGCCGTTGTCCTTCAGCAGCGCCGCCATGCGGCCTGTGCCCGGGGCGCGGGCAACGCTCGCTGGGATCTCGGCCCGCGCGTAGCGCTCCGCCACGGCAGCTTGCAGCTCGAGCGTCTCGTCTTCGTCCAAGGCCAGCTTGAGCAATTCAAAGCTTGCTCCGCTCAGCGAGCTGGAAGACCCTTTCGGGGCGGAGCGGGCGCAGTCGGTCCAGATGCGGCGGTCGAGCTCGACGGGCCGAGCCGGCTGGAAGGCTCGGGCGGCAGGCGGCAAGTCGGCGGCGGGCCTCGGCGGTCGCCGGGCGGGGTCCCGCAGTTCTGCCAAAGTCTCCGCCGTGCCCGGCGCCAGCCCGCGCGAGGCGAGCAGCTGCCGCGCCTTGCTGAGGCCCCCTGCTCTGACCAGCGCCACCGCGTCTTCCAGGAGGCGCTGGCGCCTCGCATCGCCTCGCCTCGGCGTCGCCCGCGCCGCGCGCTCCTCCCGGAGGCCGCTGCCCTTGCAGGCTTGGGGCCAGCAGCGCTTCCCAGGAGGCGTCCTCGAACTGCTCCAGTCGCGCTTCGAGCTCTCGCCGCCCTGGCGCTCCAGTGCTCGCGGTCCGTCGCAGCAGCATGCGCCAGATGAGAACCAGGAGCTTCCAATCCCTCACCCTCTGCAGCCCGTCGGCGTCGCCAGGAAGGGCGTCTGCGCGCAGGACCTCCTCGAGGACCGTGTGGTAGAGTTGGCGAAGGCGGCCGCGGAGGAAAGCCGGCGGCGCCCGGATGCACGGCACCCGCCGGCGCAGTTCGGCCTCCAAGTCCACTGCGTCAAGAAGCGCCCAGGCGGCGTCGGGGAAGGCAGACTGCGCCAGGCGCCGGTTTCGTCGCCCGCCTCCGCCACTGCGCGGCGGCGCTGGCGCAGGCGGCGCCGCTGGCGCAGGCGGCGCCGCTGGCGCAGGCGGCGCGGGGCCAGCGCTGTCGGAGGCGCTGTCGCTCTGGCTGTGGCTGCCCTCTTCCTCGCTGCTCTCGTCGTCGTCGTCGTCGTCGTCGTCGTCGTCGTCGCTGCTCAGGTCTCCTCTGCCGCCTGCTCGCCCTCTGCCTCCTCGGGCGCCTCTGCCCCCTCTGCCTCCTCCAGCGCCTCTTCGTCCTCTGCCTCCTCTTGCGCCTCTCCCTCCTCTGCCTGGTGCGGCGCCTCCCTCTCCCTCCGCCTGCGGCTCCTCCTCGGCGCCTCTTCCGCGCGCGTCTGGCGGGCCCGGTGCTCCAGGCCCTGCTGCCGGGGCGGGTCTTGGAGGCAGCCCGCGCGCAAGCCATGCCCTGTAGGCGTCAGCCTGCACCTCCACAGCGCGGATGAAGTTCACCCCCCCGAAGATCTGCATCACGATGTCTTGGGCGATCGGCTGCATGTATCCTCTGTCGTCGGCAAGGAGCCCTACCACCGCTGGCAGCCCCAGTTGGCACCCGTGCAGCCCGTCTCCGAGAGCCGGCGGCAGCGGGGGGCCCGCCGCGCGGAAGGCGGACACGTCGGCGCGCGGCCTCTCTCGGAGGAACGCCGCGGCGTTCTCCCACCAGTGTGCTGCAGCAGGGTGCTGTCGCCACGCGGCGGCTTCCTGCGCGTCAAGCTGGCCCGCGGCGTCCAGGAGGAGTGGCACGTACATCCAGGAGTTAAGGTAGCGGCTGGTCTCTGCAGCGTGTCGTGGAGGCGACCAGCCGCTGAACTGGGTTCGTGGGCCGTCCGCCGCCGGTGGGTCCGGGCTCCCGCCTCCTGCTCCTGTCTCTGGCGGCCGTTCCGGCTGTGCGGCCTCTGGCTCGGGCAGCGCTGTGGCGGCGCAGCTTTCGCAGAGCCAGTTTCCCTGCCACCTCCAAGGCCCTCCGGCGTCCCCGCTGGCCCGGGCGACCCACTCGACCTGCCCTGGCTGGCCGCAAGGGCACTGCGGCGGCCTCTCGCCCAGCGGCGGCGGGACCTCGCTACCGAGCGGGGCGACATCGCAGGCGGCGCATTCCCAGCTGCCCGTCAGCCCATCTGGCCCGCGCGAGTGCCGCCATCGCAAGGGTCGCTCCGGGTGGCGCGGGCACATGGCGATCGCGTGCGGTGCCGGCCCCTCCGGCAGCACGAGGGGCCCCCCTCGGTACCGGTTGGCCCGCTCCTCGTCGGAACTCGGGTCGCCTGCAACTCCCCGGCAAGGCAGGCAGCGGCACCCTCGGAAAGGTAGCCCCCCGCCGCGCCCAAGGTGGCCCGCCAGCTCCGCGAGCCGCGCGGCAGAGTTCGGGCCGTCGCCCCACCTGCGGTTGCAGAGCGGGCACGCTGCGTCCTCTACCCGGCTGGAATCGCCGCCCGAGTTCCGCAGGTGTGCGAGTCCGCGGCGGAGAGGGCGAAACCGGGCCAGGCAGGCTGCGTGGAAGCAGTGCGGGACGTGGCCGCAGTCGGGCCATTGCGCCCTCGAGTCGTCGAGCGGCTCCTGGCACATGTAGCAAACCTCGCTGGCCTCTGGCTGCTCCGGCTCCTGGGGGTCCGGCCCCTGCTGTGGTTGCTGCGGCTGTTGCTGCTCCTCCGCCGCCGCGCGTTCGGCTGTCTCCCGCGGCGGCGCGAGCAGCCCAGAGAAGTCCCATTCGGCCGCAGGCGCCTGTCCGAACACGGCGCTGAAGTGGCTTTGTCTGGCAGGCAGCGGCGACAGAGACCGGCCCGGCGATCCGAAGAGCTCTCGAGGGGGAGTCTCGGCTTCCGCCGGCCGGGGCGCGGATTCGCCCGAAACCTCGCCCGCTGGCTCGGGCAGGTCCGCTTGCGAGCGTCCGCCCGGCGGCGTGGCTGGGGCAGCGTCGTTGTGCGGTGGCCCTGGGTGGCTCGCCTCACCCACGCGCTGTCCGCGGTAGCCGTACAGCGCGTCTCGCTGGTCCCTCCCTGGTGTGCGCAGCTCCTGTCGTGGTACAGGTGGTGCTGCCAGTGTCACTGCTGGTGCTGGTGCTGGTGGCGGCGCTGCCGGTCGCTGTCGTGGTGTTGCTGTTGGGCGCTGTCGTGGCTGTGGCGTTGGTGTTGCTGCTGGTCGCTGTCGTGGTGGTCGCTCTCGTCGTGTGCGCGGTCGTTGGGAGCCGCCGCCTGCTGCCGTGGCTGTGTGCTGGCTGCCGTCGCTCTGGTCGCCACGGGACTGCCTGCCCTCGCGCGCTCCTCCCTTAACCTCCCCCTGAGACTTCAGAGTCCCTCCAAGAATATGTTCTTCCTGAGATCTCCAAGTCAATCCGGGAGTCTGGGTCAGTGCAGCGCTGGGTGGTGCTCGTGGTGCCGGTGGTGCTGCTGGTGGCTGTCGTGGCGGTGGTGCTGCTGCCGTTGTTTTGCGCCGTCGTGGCTGTGGCGGTGCTGCTGGTGCTGCTGGTCGCCGTCGTGGTGCTGCTCGTTGCTGTCTTGGTCGCCGTCGTAGTTTTCCTCCGCCTGTGGCCGCAGTTGGGTGCTGGCTGCTGTCGCTCTGGTCGCTGCGGTGCTGCCTGCTCTCGCGGCGCCTGTGGCGAAAGCGCGCTCTGGTCACGAGCGGCGCGCCCTCGCCGACCCCCGCCCGCGCCATCTTTCGGTCGTCGTCGTCGTTGTGCTGCTGCTTGTGGCGCCACTGTTTGGAGTCGTACGGCTTCTTGTTGTCGAAAATGTTGTCGCGTTGCTCCTGTGGGCTTGCTGCGCAAGCCGGGGCGCCACCGGGGACCGCGGCGGAGCCGCGCGAACCCCGATGGGGTCAGGGTCGCTGGCGGGCGCTCCGCGCAGGCCTGGGCGGTCGTGCCTCCGACGACGGTGAAGTCACCAGGCGGCGGGCCCAACGATGCCCCAGGCGGACTGCCTCCGTGCATAGACGGCAGCGAGGCCCCGAGCTCTGCCGACAAGCCACGAGCCTCGCGGCCAGGGGAGCTCGACGCTCTCTCCGTGGGAGCAACCTGGACAGAACGCGCCGAAGAAGGAGGCGATGTCCTCCGTCTCCTCCTCCTCCACCTCCTCCTCCTGGAGCGCGATCTGCCCCGCCTCTCGCGCCGGTAGCGCGAGTCGCTCCTTCGTCTGCCTCGGGCGCCCATGGCTCGAAGGCGCAGGGGCAGCTCTTCTCAGTTCAAGGGGTGGGCCCGAAACTGCAGCTGAAAGCCGGAGCTTGAGCGAAAATGGCTACGGCTTGTTGCTCGTTGCTTTCGTGGGACCATCCGCTTTTCTGGCCGCCCCCAATCGTCTCTTGTGGGTTTTCCAATTTAGCTTTTTCCATTTTAGCGAGACGTTTTCTCTCGGCCGTCTGCTCCGCGTCTTGTCGCTCCTGAACCTCCCTCAGTTTAGACAGCTGCACGGTCGCTGTCTGGAAGTCTCCGCGCTCCACCGTCGCGAGGGATGTCCAGAACCAGCGGCGCACTCGCCCGATCGCCCAGTTCCTCCTCCAGCCCGACCAGAAGATCCTCGACCGTTTCGCGACTCACTCTGCGGCTCCAGTGCGCGCTCCAGCCCTGGGTGCCCAGCGCAGGCCCACCCGGTGGTCAGTGTGCGACTTGCTCGGCAGGCGTTGAGTTCCGGGGCGCATCGTGCTCAGCCATTTTGGCCTCCCCCCCGCTTGTCCTGTTCTCTGCCCCTGCCTTTTTCTTCCGCTTGCGTAGACGCTCGGTGCGTACCTGACGGCAGCCTTCTAGGCGGCGGCGGCGTCGGCAGTGGGATGGGGCGGAGGCCGCGGGGCCTTCCGCGCATACCCCTGCAGGGGCAGTCTTTGCCATGCTCCAGGGTAGTGCCTGATTATATCGGTTGTCAGCGGCGGCTCCTTGACAGGCGGCAGGGGGCGCGCGATGTGCTTGGAAAAAGATGGCTGAGCTTGTGACCCCTCGATTACGCTTGCTCCTGGTTCGCGCGTCGTCCTTTCAGGTTGGAAGCGCCAGCCGCCATTTTTGCAGGACAGCGCTGCGCTCTTGCAAATCTGTCGGCCTGCCTTGCCGGCGTTGCTGCCTTCTTGCCGTCTTGTTCCCCTGTCGCCTTCTAAGGTTGAAAATGCCAGCCGCCATTTTTGCAAGACGGCGCTGCGCTCTTGCAAATCTGTCGGCCTGCCTCGCCGGCGTTGCCGTTGTCTTCCGTCGCCTTCGCCTCCCTCGTCGTCTTCGTCGTCGTCGTCGTCGTCGTCGTCGTCGTTGTCGTCGTCGTCGTCGTCGTCGTCGTCGTCGTCGTCGTTTGGTCTCGTGGCGCGTTGCTGGCTTCTTGTTAGCCTACTTTGTCGTTCTCTCCTTGTTTTTCTGGTGGAACCTGTACCAGTGGGAGGAGTGGGAGGAGTCCGCGAAGATGTGGCGCTTGGGAGGAGGTCCTGCTGTCGAGTCTCTTGTTCGCCCCTCTCGTTGTCTTTTGTTTTGTTCCCGCGTTTCTTGTAAGTTGGAGCACGCCTTTGCCATCCATGGAGCAAGGCCGCAGATTGCTCACGCATGCCCGTGCGACGCCGGCGGTCTTGCTCTGTCTCTCCTACGGTCGTCCTCTCCGTTCTCTCGCCCTCTGCCACCGCGTGCTGCCACCGAGCTCGGGCGGGCGGGCCCGGCGAGCAGGCCCCGTCGGTCGCCCCCGCCGGCGCCGTCGCCCGCGGACCCAATGGAGGCGGACCCGCGGGCTGCTCGGCGGCATCAGGTTGATCGGGTGCTCGCGCCACTGCGAGATAAAGTGATCCGTTGGGCGGCGGTCGGGAGCCGACGTTGTGAGCAGACGGCCGCAATGTTAGATGCATTGGCTTTACTAGAGCTAGCGCCGCCACGCCCGCTTGAGGTCACTCGGCAAGCGGGCACTGAAACGTCTTTGTTGTGGGCAATCGCCGAAGAGCTCGAGCAGTTTCTACGCGGGGAGATTGTCCCAACGCTGGAGGCAAATCCGGCGACTGGATCGCCAGTTGCCTCCCCGTACGTAGGCGGCTTGCACCCGTCAGTTGTCGGAGCGGGTGAGTATGGGCGTCGGCCAGGCCCCTCCGCGAAATCCAGCCTGCGCTTGGCAATCCTCAACCCGGGACGCATGGGCTTCCTGCAACTAGGTTCGGATCTGTTGCTCGAGTGGCGGCTTGAAGCCGCCGCGCACGCGCTGGTAGAGCGGGATGTCGACGCGTGCATTCTTCCAGGCGCGCGTTTTCCATCCGGCGCCTCTTTGCCACCTGGCTTCCCTTTTCTGTGGGAAGGGCCCGCGTCCTTTGGCTGGGACTCCGTCGGCTTGTTTCTGCGCCCTGAACTGGAGCATGCTTTCCGGCCACTCCCCGAAATCTCCAGCACTCGCGAGCAGTGGTTTGGGCTGTGGGGCGCAGGCGATGAGACCACCCCTAGCGCCGTCCTGTGCGCAATGTACCCTGTCCACGGCGGGGACCGGGACACTTGGGCGTCCATCGTTGCCCACGTGCGGCTGTTGCGGCGTCGCTTTCCTGCTGCTCGCCTGCTTATCGGGGGTGATGCGAACGTCCACTTGTCGTACTGCGCTTCCCGCGCCGTTGGGTGCCTCTGCCCCCATTGTCGACAGAGAGCCCCAGATCGCGAGATCCAGGCGTGGCTCGACGACGCAGGGCTCCGCGCTTACAACCCCCCTTTGCCTACTCACGTTTCTGGCACGACGATTGATCTGTTCTTGGGGCCTGCCGAAGCTTACCTTCCTGTGTCTGTCTTTGATGAGTTCGTGGGCCTATCGGACCGCAAGCTTGTCCAGGTCGACGTTCCCTTCTCCCCGGCCCTTTGGTCTGCGGGCTTTGGGCGAGTGTCCTGGACGTCTGGGGGCGAGTGGACGTCCGCGCTCGAAAGTATTTCGGATCTGCTGGGCGTGCTAGCGGACGCCGTGGAGCAGGCCGCCAGAAGCACGTGGCTTAGGCCGCCCTGGTTTGGGGGTAACGCCACTCGCCTGCAGCGCCGAGCTGTGCTCAGCAACGCGGCTTGGGCGAGGGGCGCCACTTGCGTCTTAGTAGGTCACGCTGCCGGGGCCGCGAAGGTGAGCCGCGTTGGTGCTCGCGAGGGGCGCGCGCCTTCGCGAGCTCCTTTGAGTGTCGCGTCTTTCCCGACGCACGAGGCGTACAAGTCCGCCGTGGAGACTGCTGCGTGGCAGGAGCGGCGCAAAGCGGCCCACCGGTATTTATCCCTTAGGGGCACGAACGCAGGCGCGGCAGAACGCTCCCTCACGGGCGTTTTCAAGTCCTCAGCCCGTTTCGACATACAGCTAGTGGACGAGTCTTCTGGCGCGGCTCTCTCGACAGTTGAGATGCTCGACGCCATCCGTAGGGACCTTTGCCCGCGCGCCGAGAATGACTTCCCGCAGGACCCAGCCGAACGCGCGCGCATGTCAAGCCAGGTCGCTGCCATCCGTCGCGCTGGCGCGAGCTCCGGCCAGGCGGGGCCAGAGCAGCCGTACTCGGAAGAGGAAGTCGAGGCGGCCCTTGCGCTGCTCAAGCCAGGCAAGCGAACCGTGCGCATGTGCAACGCGGCGGTGCGGGCCAAGGTTGAGGAGGGTTTCCGTCTCACGCGAGCCCTGTTGAACCTGGCGCGTGCCCTGTGCGTTACCTCGCGTCTTTGGTCGCTGAGGCAGTTTTCCCCGATCCGCAAATCGGGGCCAGCGGTAGTGCGTCGGCTCTCTGCCCTGCGTCCAGTTTCATTTGCCAGTGACATGGCGTCGGTTCAAGACGCGGCCTGGCTGGCGCGCAACTCCCACTGCATAGAGGCTTACTGTGGTCCAGCCCAGCAGGGAGGCGTCGGCGACGCCATGTCTTTGGTAATTGCGCTCGTCATGAACGCCCAACTCAGAGCAGCACAGGACCTTCCAACGTGGTGGGCGATCGCAGGCGAGAAATGGGCCTTCGACGTCGCTTCCATAGACGGGATGCTCTTGGGCGTCTTCGCCGCGGGTGTTCGGGGAGCCGACTGGCTGATGCTTGACGATGTCTTTGCGCAAGATCATCAGGTGGTAGGGCTCCGCGATTTGCTCACGCATTTTTTCGCTCTAGGTTGCGGCACCGCGCAAGGGCGACGCTTTGCGGTCCACGCTTTCAATGCGCAGCTGCGCGCTCTCCCTGTGGAGATCGAACAGGCCATGCCTGGGGGGTGCGCTTCTCGCGTCCCTCTCTTGGCTCGTTTGGCCTTGCGTGATGCCAATGACGCGGTGCGTGCATCAGTTGATGTTGCAATGCCTTCTCGGAATTTCTCTCTGTCTGCCTCGGCAGTGTCGCAGGCGGCCTGCATCGCTGCGCAAGAAGGCGCCCCCTGGCCACGTGCTGAGGCCTTTCTTTCCCACGCGCTACGATCAATACCAGCACTCCCGGACAGAGTGGCGTGGTGGAGGCCGCAGGGTCGCATCACCTCCCTCCCGTCCAGTTCGTCGACGACATCGCGACGCCTTGTCCGTCAGCAGGGGCAGTTCGCGCTGTGTTGTGCGAAGAGGCGTCCTCCGCATGCACGCGGTACGCCAGGAGGATGAAGTCTCAGTTTAATTATGGGGTAGGGAAGACTTGCGTGCTTCCGATCTTGGGGGCGCCGCCCCCGCCGCGCGCCGGCTGCCCCGTAGTGCTTGTGAAGCGCCTGCTCGGAGTCCTGGTTGACGGGGATCTTTCTTCCCCTGCTCCGTGAGGTTGCGGCGATGGGGAATGATTGTTTCGGCAAATTGCTCCGCGCTGCGCAAAGCGGGGGTTTCTCTATCCCTGTCGCAGCCGCCCAGGCCCCCACGCGCGTGGAATCCGTGGCGCTTTTCGCTGCCCCGCTTTTAGCGGGCACGCCAGGGGCGGAGGCCGCCCTCAATAGGCTCCAAGTGAACTGGGGTCGACGTCTGTTGGGCTGCCAAAGAGGCCCTCCCATCAAGCATGCTGTTGTAGTCGCGCAGTGCGGGTGGCCAATGCGGCTCG